CCCTTTCAATGCTGCAAATGAATTATTAATTAATTTCTTAATTAATTTAATTTTGACAGGGTGTTTTTTTGACCAGCAAATTCAGCTGGTCCCCTTCCCAGGGTTTGCTGCTCCTTTTCCAGCAGGTATTTGTATCCTTGGCCTCAAAAGAAGCAGCTGGGAATTGAAGATTGGTCTGAGAAGGGAATCAGTTGAGATGAGCCAGGTATTTTTCCTAGGAAATTGTCCCTTCATGGTGGGTGAAGCCTCAGGGACTGGAAATCCAGCTCTGCCACAGCCCCTGGGCACTGGTTCCATGTCCTGAGCTGCTGGGAGAGGGATTCCTGGAGGAGGAGGTCATGGAGGTGATCCAAGGGCTGGAGCAGCTCTGCTCTGGAGCCAGGCTGGGAGAGTTGGGGTGTTCAGCCTGGAGAAGAGAAGGCTCCAGGGAGACCTTAGAGCAGCTTCCAGTGCCTGAAGGGGCTCCAGGAAAGCTGGGGAGGGACTTGGGACAAGGGCAGGGAGGGAGAGGACAAGGGGGAAGGGATGAAAACTGGAAGAGGGAGATTGAGGTGAGACATGAGGAGGGAACTCTGGAGTGTGAGAGTGGTGAGAGCCTGGCCCAGGTTGCCCAGGGAAGCTGTGGCTGCCCCATCCCTGGCAGTGTTGAAGGGCAGGTTGGATGGGGCTTGGAGCAGCCTGGGCTGGTGGGAGGTGTCCCTGCCCATGCAGGGGGGTGGGACTGGGTGATCTTGAAGGTCCCTTCCAACCTCCATGATTCTCCTGGCTCCCTCTCCCAAGGGATGTGGGTTTGGGTTCCCTATATCCTGACTGGCAGCAGAAGCTCAGAGCCCTCCCAGTCACCCCCCAGCCTGGGGTGACGCTGCACGAGTGGGGAAACTGAGTCACGGGAAGGTGGAGAGACCCACCAGCTGCAGCAGGAGGGTTGTCCCCTTCCCGAGACACCTCCAGGATGGGCTCTGTGCCTCAGTTTCCCTTTCCCTGTACCTCAATTTCTCCACCCCTCCCTGTGCCTCAGTTCCCCTTTCCCTGTGCCTCAGTTTCCCTCCCCTCTTCTCTGTGCCTCAGTTTCGCTGTCCCTGTACCTCAATTTATCCACCACCCCCACTGTGCCTGTTTCCTTTCTCCCCCTCTTCCCTGTGCCTCAGTTTCCCTTTCCCTGTACCTCAATTTCTCCAACCCTCCCCGTGCCTCAGTTTCCTCCCTCTTCTCTGTGCCTCAGTTTCCCTGTACCTCAATTTCTCCACCCCTCCCTGTGCCTCAGTTTCCCTCCCCCCCTCTTCCCTGTGCCTCAGTTTCCCTTTCCCTGTGCCTCAATTTCTCCACCCCTCCTCGTGCCTCAGTTTCCCTTCCCCCCTCTTCCCTGTGCCTCAGTTTCCCTTTCCCTGTGCCTCA